AGCGCCCAGGAGGCCGAAAACAGGATTTTTGCTTTTGCAGCAGATCTTCTTTTGTTATACTATCCTTGCTTTCAGACGTGTCGAACCCAGCACCTCGAACCTGCTTCCCCCCCTTTCATGGGACGCGCAAAGACATACTAGTACTATATGTTATCCTTGGAGGCGCGCGTCCGACCGAACATATGGTATACCCAACTTGTAGTAGATCGTTTCCCGAGCGGCGTGGCCAGAAAGCGCCCGACAAGACGCATATACTATAAGATTTCTCGGTGCGCGCGTCGCCCCTGGGGGGGCGACGCACACATAGTATGAGTATGCTGGGGTGACGCCAATGAGAGACCCTCCGCCAACCAAAACACGCGGAGAACATCCCCCACGACGCAGCGCGCTGCGGCTTTGCATTCCGAAACCGCTGCGGCTGCGCCGGCGTTGTGGATGCCACGACAATGGACACCCTAACAGTCCTATCATTGAGTTAAAATTGTGTTTAAAATGTGTAAAACCTGTCCCCAAAATGCTTCAACCCTGTGTTTAATATTCAAAACATGCTTGAAACATGTTTTAGACATCTGGAAATCATTTGGCAGCATGCTTCCTCTCCATTAATCGACTGCCACAAGGCCAGCGGTGCGCGGGGATCGGGCGCACTGCAGCGTGGAAAGCGGATCCGCGGATCTGGCGCGTCGCGCGCCAGATCCGCGCGCCTCAGCCAGGTCCCGCACCCCGTGCTGCGCGCGAAGACGTGCGCGCTTATGCGCTGTGCCGCTCGCACGAGTAGTGAACAGGTCCTCCGAGCTACGAAGCAGGGGGCGCACTGGAAAATGCTGGTGCCGACGCGACGCTGAGCAGGGCTGAACCTAAACGGTGTTTTTCGTTTTCGTTTTGTTTTCGTTTTCCCTCGCTTTTGTCTTCAATCCGCCTCTACCGCAAGACGAAGTCGAAACGAAAACGGCCCACGGAATCGCAGGAACACAGTTTAGGATCAGCCCTGACGCTGAGGCAAAATGTGCGACGGTCGCGATCCTTGCCTGCACAGGATCGCGCGGACACCTGATCCACGGATCGGGGAAGATGCCCCTCGAAACATGAAGCCAATACCGCTCGGTCTGGCGACGGATCGCGACGATTCTATACGGAAAAGGGGCACGTCGCTAATCAACACGCCTGAACCCATGCTTGCACTTCCTCGAGTCGAGGGGGGGAGGGGCAGGGGTCCCAGGAAACCCCATCAAGAGGTGAAAAAGCACAACGGCCAATATGTTGGCAGTCGTCGGCCCCTGGGGTCCTCATAGGGCCAGGGGGGCCGTCAAGAGACCGCTCAAGGATGACAGACTGGTCCCGGGGAGAGGGTCGAGACCACCGCCGGTCTGGGCGAGAAGCGGGGCAGGATCTTGGCGGAGGATGCGACGGAGAGAAAGACGGAAGAAGATGGCAAAGAACATGGGAAAGAGAAAAGGTGAATCATTCGCGATAACGCCCGTGACCGGCCCAGCCCACCCCGCCACTCCCCCCTCCTGGTCACGGCGCGATTCGCGCCCGCGCCGTGCAGGAACTTGCCACCCATAAGCATTCCCGGACGGCGCCGACACGGATCGTGACCCAGCCCCCTCCCCCCCTCCACCCCCGGCCCTGGTGCAAAAAGCTGCCTCGTGGCAGGGAACAGATGGGTCCTGAGGGGAACGGGCCCTGGGCCTTGCAGGGGCCTTTCCCCAGGACCGACTCTTTGCCCGGAGCCGCTCTCTGACAACACCGGGGGCCCTGAAGGGCCCCGGGAGGCCAAGAGCGGAGAACAAAAGCCTCGGGGCCCGTGCCCCTCAAGATCCGCTCGCGAAAGAGGCAGACCAGGGCAGGAAGCAGCCGGTGCCAGGAGGTCCCAGGAGAGGCCGCCCCGGCCCCAGAGGGTGAGGCGAGGTCCTTCTGCCCTCGCCGGGATTCGGCTCTTCTCTCCAGCCGCTCCTTCAGCTTCTTTTCTCGGGCCTTCTCGTCCTGGGCGAGCGCGTCAACTATCCGCCCCACCCCGATCATGCCCTCGCCAGGCCTGGGCCCAGGATCGGCCGACGCGCGATCTCAGCGAGCAGGAAGGCACATGCACCGATCGTGGCGACAGGAATTGCCCAGCCAGGATCGGCGCTGGCGGATGCGGCGCGTTCCCGCCTTCACGGCGTGGGCTCCCCAGACATCTGACGTCTCGATATAATTCGAGACACGGCCCCCCGACCTCCCGACCACTTCCCCGGGACCGGTTCTCCATCCCGAGTCGTTTTTGACGGTCCCGAGGCCCAGCGAGGGCCTCGAGAGGCCGAAAATCTGGAAAAAAACGCCGTCTCGATTTTTTCGAGGCTCCCGATGTCTGAAAGAGCGTGTTCTACCGCTGCTGGCGGAAAACCGGGGGGGGTCACTACCGGTTCGAACCCCTCCCCCCCCCCCCCCCCCCCCCCTCCCGGAAAACCGGGGGGGGTCACTACCGGTTCGAACCCCTCCCCCCCCCCCCCCCCCCCTCCCCTACCGGTTCCCCCCCCCCCCTCTCGAAAACCCAGTGGGGGTGCGGACAGAGGTGGGGACGGTGTTGGTGGGACAGTGGTGAGGGGATAGCGGGACAGTGGTGGGGACAGTGGGACAGTGGGACAGTGGTGGGGACGGTAGTGGTGGGGACAGTGGTGGGGACAATGGTGGGAACAGGGGGGGACAGTGGACAGTGGTGGTGACGGTGGTGGTGGGGACAGTGGTGTGGGGACAATGGGAATGAGGTGGAAACAGTGGGACAGTGGAGGGTACAATGGTGGTGGGGACAGTGGTGAAGGCGGTGGCGAGGACGGCGGTGGGACAATGGGACAGAGGTACAGTGGGGACAGTGGTGGGGACAGTGGGGACAGTGGTGGGAACAGTGGGACAGCTCAGTGGGACAGCGGAGGAGTCAGTGGGACAGTGGGGACAGTGGGGATAGTCGGGCAGTGGTTGGGGCCGTGGAGACAGTGGGGAGAGTGGAACCGTGGTGGGAACAGTTCTGGGGACAGCGGGGACAGTGCGACAGTGGTGGGGCCACTGGTGGGGACAGTAGGGGCGGTGGTGGAACCAGTGGGGACAGCGGTGGTGAGGACAGTGGTGCTGGGAACACCAGTGGGGGATGTGATGCGGACGGTGGTGGGGACCGGGAGTCGTTTGCTGGCGGTGAGTAGGGGGGGGGGGGGGGGGGGGGGGGTTCGAACCGGTAGTGACCCCCCCGGTTTTCCGGATCCGAAGGGGGGGGGGGGGGGGGAGGGGTTCGAACCGGTAGTGACCCCCCCCGTTTTCGAGCGGGAGGGGGGGGGGGGGGGGGGGAGGGGTTAGGGGAGGGGGGGGTTTTGCCGGGGGAGGGGGGGGGGGGGGGGGGGGGGGGGAGGGGTTCCAGCAGGGGGGGGGGGGGATTTTCGGAGGGGGGGGGGGGGGGGGGCGACCCCCGGGTTCCGGAGGAAAAGGTTGGCAATTTTCCACAGTAAAGCGGCGGTGGATCACGCTCTCTCCGATGTCTGGGTCTGGCGCCTGCAGGCCTCGTGCCTCCAGAAAGACTCCCGACGAAGGCACGGAGAGGCTCCTGTGGCCGCGGCGTCCAGGGCCTCGGCTGCGCCCACGCGTGGACCCTCCGGTCCTGGACAGCCTCCGCTGCCGAGGGCCCCGCTGGAGCCCGTGCGTCCGGGACGGGGATCTACTCCAGATTTCGTAATAAAAGGGAGGGGGTCTGGACCCTCCAAGACAAGCCATTTCAGACCCCCCCCCGTGGGAGAACCCTCCAAAACATCGTCCCCAGACCCCCCCAGGCCCTCCAAGATAGCCTGGAAGAGACCCCCCCCCGAAATGAGACCCCCCTCCCTTTTATTACGAAATCTGGAGTATGCATGACCACCGCCTGGAGGATCAGTTCTTGCGGGGACCTGGACAGGCGGTGGATATGGATACATTCGGGCCCCCTGGGGGCCAAAACGTATCCACATCCGCCGCTCGCGGGGGCACCAGGGCGTCGGTTCCCAGGCGGTGGCTGTGGATAAATCCCCGCCTCGCAGTGCGGGGCGCCCTGGGCCTGGAACGCCGGCGCCCGCGTGGCCGGCGCCGTCGCTGGCGCGCCCCTCGCGCCCCGCGGTGCGCGGCGCGCGGCCACCCTCGCGCCCGCGCTGCCGCGCGCCGCGCCCGTGCTGCTCTGGCCCGAGCCGCGAGGCGCGAGGCGCGCTCGGCGTCGCGCCCCCTCGGCGTGGCCTGCGCCTCTCGCCGTCGCTCGGACGTCCGTTCCCCGTGCAGTCTTCGGTTCCGCGCGTGCTCTTTTCGCCAGACGGCCGAGGGTGCTCCTCGAAGGTCCTCGCCGAGAAATCAACACGCACGCGTCCGAGCGATGCCAGGTCCCCTTCGTTGGCATGCGCACTCGTCCGGCCCAAGCGCCCAACGGCGCATGGCTTCTCGACTCTGGTCGCCCGGTCGACGTCGTGGTCCTTTCACGCCGCGGGTCCCCCCGGCAGCTCGCGGCCCCCTCGCCGATGGGCAGGCCTGTCGCCCCCCCTGTGCCGCTGGCCCTCATCAGGGGAGGGAGCGGGCCTCCGGACGCCCGAGGGATGGCAACAAAAAAACGTCGTGGATGTTCTCGTGTCACGACGCCTGGAGATCTGCCTCGACCCGTCCGCTTTCGCTCGAGACGAGTCCACGGACACACGACGCGGACTCGATTCGACTGTCGTTTTTGCCATTTCCGGAACGGGATAGAGGATGTCATGGAAAATGTACCCGAACGATCCCACGGGTATCCGATTGCCACGGGTATCCGTGGTTATGTCTAGGATTCCGTGAACGCTGTGGGGGAAACCCGTAGGATTAGTCATGGAAACCCTTCTGACTAACTAGTTGCCTGCAGTGTAACATGTCGCTTGTATCGCTCACGGGCGGCATCCCGACCAATTTTCTGGGTTGCGTCCAGCCGTGGCCACGAGGGGGCCCCCGAAAATCCTGCTGGAGAAAGAGTTCTCGCATTGCCCCGCGTCCTCCACGATCTTCAGGTTGTAATTCTTGATGCGGTCCGTCCTCTTCTTGGGCATGAGGCGCCGATGCGAGCGGGGGTAAAAGCAGGAGACCGGCCCAGGGGAAGCATCGACTCCGCCCAGGATCGGCGCCGCATCGCCAACAGGTCCGCGAGCGTTGCCCGACCACTGCAGCGCAGGCGCCTGGGCAGGGTGGCGCACCCGAGCCCTGATCGGCGAGGAATGGGCAAGGATGTTTCCCGAGGGTCCTGGAGCCCACGGCTGCTCTCCAGACGAGCTTATCATCCTGAGTCGTTTCGCTGCAGGTCAAAGGGCCTGGGAAAGGCCCGAAGGACGCCGACGACGGCAGAACGAGCCAGGAGCTTGCCCCGGAGGCACCCACGGGCCTGCGGATTCTCGAGGGGTCTCCAGAATTGCTTCAAAACCCAGGGAAACCCAGAAACACTGACAAAACCAGAACAAACATCCAAAAGCAATCCTCCCTACTGCATGGTGATGGGCCAGGTCCCCCCTTTGGCCCCCGCCGATGGGATGCCGGGAAGCGGGATCGGCTGGATGGCCAGAAAGCAGCCCCCGGTCTTCGACCCACTGCGGCTTGAGCCAACTGGCTATGGACGGCCCCACCGCCCCGCGCGCGGCATGGCGGGATAGAGAGAGAGAGAGGAGAGGGATAGAGAGAGAGAAAGGGGAGAGGGAGAGAGAGAGAGAGAGCACATTTGGGGGGGAGGACGAGGGCAAGCTAGGTGCACTCGCGCCACGTCTAACAACCGACCCCTCCCATGCATCCTCTCCCCCTGCGCTGATTGCACCAGCCTGGAACATATCCCTATCCCTATGATTGGCATCGCCTCATGCCGATGCCGATCTTAAGGATTCCCTCCGTTTCTGAGGGCGCATCCCTAAGATTGTCGTCGCCTTTGAGCTTGATAATCTTAGGGATAGGGATAAGTTCGAGGCTGGTCATGATTATCGCTCTATCCGCCGAAGGGTGTCATGGTGGACCTGGACCCGCTAAACGGCCCCCTCGTGTCATGCGCAGTCAGGAAAGGGGGGATGCGCACTGGAGGAGGTGGCAGATGAGGAGGACGAGCAGGAGGTCAAGCGTGTTCGAGGCGAGTCCGAACGGCCGCCTCCACACAGGAAGCCGCGAGACGATCGAGCGCCTCTGCGAACATCTGGACGCGGGCCCGGCCCCCACAGAGGCCTGCTCGGGGCGGCCCCCCGGGGTGATGGGGGGGGGGGGGGGGAAAAACGGGGGGGGGGGCCTTGCAGGGCGCTCTTTTCGAGCCCGCTGCTCACAGCACGAAGGGGAATCCACCTGGCCTCCTCGAGAAGCGAAGGGGGCCCCCCGAGCAAGGGGAGGGAAGGACGACACACGACCGCCTTCAACGACGACGGAAAGGGGGGTGGGAGAGCCGCCGCCTCAAAGATTGAGCATCGTTCATCCGATCCCCATCCCCAGCGGCGTGGCCTGGGCCCCACTGGCCGATCTACCCCGCCAGATGGGGATCTGGGTCGTTCCCTTCGGGATTCGAGCGGTGCATCCCCAACTGGGGTGGTAATCTGGTGGGGGTCTCGAAGGGGGCGGGGATGGGGATGGGGATCGGACAAAGGACACTGAAAGATGCAGTCGACGTGGGCGGGCGGCGGCGGGGCGGCACGCGCGCGCGCCCCCCTGCCCCTGCCTCCCCCCGCGCGCCCCCGCCAAAACGCCACGGCCCTGGCCGGACCTCCCCCCTCCAGGCCAAGGGCACGGGGGGGGAGAGAGGCCACCAGGCAGAGGAGCCGGGGGCAGAGAGACCCGACGGGGGGGAGCGAGGACGAGGAGGGGGGAGGGGAGCAGGCCCCAAGGGCCCAACGGGGCGCGGGAGAGAGAGAGAGAGAGAGAGAGAACAAAAAAAAAAGAGAGAGGGAGGACGGGCAGCAGACAGACAGGACCCGACAGTGCAGAAGAGCACGGCAGCGCAGGCCGCGCCAGGGCAGGGCGGGAGGAGGGAGAAGCGAGCGGCCCGGGGGGAGGGAGGGGGGAAGCAAACGCCCACCCTCGCCCCAGAACTCGTCAGCACCTGTTACATTCTCACTGAGTCCGAGAAACTGAACCCTACTTCTGCCGTTGGGAGTATCTGTTTGCGCAAAGGCATGGCTCTCATTTCTAGTTTTGAGATTCAGCGGGGGGTCCTCTTGAGGCATTGAAGCCTTCTGGGATCGTCGTGCCTGATTTCCCATGCCTGTGGCGTCGCCTGGCATCGTTTCCAGGTCCTGGCTGCATTTCCAAATTCCGCGCACGCATTGGCCCCCCCTCTGTTGTATTGAATCTGCCCCCTCGCACCACAACCCATGCATTCCCCGTCATAGTCATGCCGTTTTGTGTCCTCAGCAGTCCCACCCTATTGTCGTTGTAATTGCACAGATCCCAAGTATGGGAGGCCTAGAGATTGACACCGACAACAAGATCGGCGGTGTGCCTCCACCGTGGGAAGGTGCTCCCGATGTCGGTGGTGGTGGTAATATTTCGGCGTCCTGGGTGGCCTAAGCATTGCCACCAACACCGAATTCTAGGATCATCCTTCCCCCTGGTGAGGCATGCCCGTGTGTTGGTGTTGGTGCCCATTTCCAGGCCTTCACCAGCAGGTGGGCTCATGTCCTCCACCGTCGCTGCAGGGCCACACCGCTGTCCTTTCTCCTCGCCAGTCCGCTGTCGCGCCTGACCTCGCTCGCGCCCCATACCACTGGGAGTCCTTGGTCCATGGGGCCCCTGGAAGACCCAGGGTAGTCCGCCGAAGATTCGCCACGGTGCCAACCGCTCCCTCCTCGTTGCCGCCTCGATGCCGCCTCGTGCGATGGGTAGGTGTCCTAAGGATTCGCCACGATACTGCCTGTTGCCGCCTCCTTGCCGCCCATCGCGTTTGGGGGGTCCGCTGAGGTTTCGCCACGTTGCTGCGCGATGCCGCCTCGATGCCGCCCACCGCGTTTAGGGGGTCCGCCGCGACTTCGCCACTTCGCCGCCCGTTGCCGCCTCGCTGTCGCCCATTACGCGTGGGGGCTTCGCCGAGGCCTTGCAGCGTTGCCGCCACGCTGCCGCCTCGGTGCCGCCCCATTCGCCTGGGGGGTCCGCCGAGGTTCCGCCACGTGGCCGCCCGTCACCGCTTCCGTGCCGACCACCGCTCTTGCGGGATCCGCCGAGGCTTCGCCGCGCGGCCGCCCGATTGCCGCCTCGGTGCCGGCAACCGCGCCTGGGAGGTCCGCCGAGGCTGCCGAAGCTTCGCCACGTTGCCGCGGCGTTGCCGCCTCGTTAACGCCCACCGCGCTCAGGGGGGGTCCGCCGAGGTTTCGCCATGTTGCCGTCTATTGCCGCCTCGTTGCCGCCCATCGCGCTTGGCGGATCCGCCGAGGTTTCGCCACGTTGCCGCCCAATGCCGCCCGTTGCCGCCTAGTTGCCGCCTCGTTGCCGTCTCGTGCGCTGGGTTCCAGCTCACACCACCTAGCGTGCACCACATAATTTACACCACGTAGCTTACACCGCATGGGTATCACATCACCAACCCACACCACATAGTTTTGACCACATAACGTACACCACATAGCCTTCACCTGCAGAGTGGAAGAATGCACTGTTTGGGGTCCACACTGGCTACTGTGGGGCAATTGTGGGATAGGGCAAGGGCGAGGAGGACTATGGGGAGGACGAGCCATCCCACTGGGAGACCTCAGGAAGCAAGACAGGGGACTACAGCATCAAAGCGTGATGGCGATGTGTCATCCGTGGATGTGCGGGCGCGGAGCCATTGCAACTCGTGGATATGCAGAGCCATCGCACTCGTCGTCAAATAGAATTCCTATCTGGAACGACGACACCAGTCCATCCAAATGGCAACCCGCAAGTACAGGGTCGCACATCGCACTTGTGCTCATTTCGTTGGCTTTCCTACCCTGGCGCGTTGGAAAACAGTTTCAGCATTGGGCGAAGCAAGCGCTCGTGCACGCTGCGGGTGGCACTTCAGCTTATCAGCTAAAGTTGTGGATCCACGACCATGGACACCCTAAGAGTCCTGTCATTGAATTTAAAATGTGTTTAAAATGTCGGAGAATGCTCTATACATGTTAAAAAACATGTGTTTGCATGTTTAAAACATGTTTAACACATGTTTTAGACATCTGGAAAGTAGTTGGCAAAACGCTTCCTCTCCATTGATCGTCCTCCACAACCTTGGCTTTCCTACCCTGGCACGTTGGAAAAACAGTTGCAGCATTGGGCGAAGCAAGCGCTCGTGCACGCTGCGGGTGGCACTTCAGCTTATCAGCTAAAGTTGTGGATCCACGACCATGGACACCCTAAGAGTCCTGTCATTGAATTTAAAATGTGTTTAAAATGTCGGAGAATGCTCTATACATGTTAAAAAACATGTGTTTGCATGTTTAAAACATGTTTAACACATGTTTTAGACATCTGGAAAGTAGTTGGCAAAACGCTTCCTCTCCATTGATCGTCCTCCACAACCTTGGCTTTCCTACCCTGGCACGTTGGAAAAACAGTTGCAGCATTGGGCGAAGCAAGCGATCGTGCACGCTGCGGGTGGCACTTCAGCTCATCAGCTAAAGTTGTGGATGCCACGATCATGGACACCCCAACAGTCCTACCATTGAATTTAAAATGCGTTTAGAATATCGGAGAATTTTCTATACATGTTTGACACATGTGCTTACATGTTATAAACATGCTTAACACATGCTTTAGACATCTGGAAATTAGTTGGCAGCATGCTTCCTCTCCATTGATCGTCCTCTACAACCTTGGCTTTCCTACCCTGGCACGTTGGAAAAACAGTTGCAGCATTGGGCGAAGCAAGCGCTCGTGCACGCTGTGGGTGGCACTTCAGCTCATCAGCTAAAGTTGTGGATGCCACGACCATGGACACCCTAACAGTCCTATCGTTGAAATAACATGTGGTTAAAATGTTGGAGTACATGCTTAAAACATGTGTTAACATGTTTAAAACATGTTTAACACGTGGTTTAAACATCTGGAAATTAGTTGGCAACATGCTTTCTCTCCATTGATCGTCCTCCACAACCTTGGCTTTCCTACCCTGGCACGTTGGAAAAACAGTTTCAGCATTGGGCGAAGCAAGCGCTCGTGCACGCTGCGGGTGGCACTTCAGCTCATCAGCTAAAGTTGTGGATGC